TTAAGTTCAAAATGTCTGAAGTAGATGTGCTGCAGCCCATCGGGGAGCTGCTTTCAGAGCCTAAAGCTAAGGTTATGTGGCATGAGGGTATTTGCGGTATTGTAGGGTACCAAGTTGCTGATACAGCGTTGAAGGACTCTGTAGGGTGGAGGGAGTCATGTCAGTGCAGTCTCATCTGTTATACCTTTCTGACGGGTCCTTGGCCTGTGATACTCCTTAAACTGTTCCCAGGCATTAACTTGGAGAATAGCCTGGTCCAAGGAACATGACAATAAATAAACAGTACAGATAATGTGGGGTCTTATGGACCTGCGTCACTCCCATGCATTTGGGGTGGTGGGCTCTGTATGTGATACTTACCAGCCTAGCTTGCTGAATGCTCTTGGTCCAGTCATGTGCTGCACTGATTAAATCACTGGCTTTCCCACTGTCTCAAGTTTTTCGGGGGGATTTAGCTGGGGTTTATGAAATCCTATGGAACAGACATTCTTGAAAATCACATCTGAATAATGTTAGTACTTCAAACTGAATGCCAGTCTCTTCTGTCATTCATTTCTTGTTAATTCCTACAGCAATAATGAAAGACAATAGCTATATGTTATAGTTCTTCAAGAGCCGGGCTGAAGGAACCTTGAATCCCCCCTCCTCCAGCACTCCTCAACCAGTGAACTACTTGAAACAGCAAGTGAGACATGCAGTAGCCTGCCTTCAGGCTCTGGAGCCATTTCTGTGATGAGCATGAAATTATTCTTAGCTGACTGAAGTGAGACATAGATTTAAAAGCTTGAGAGACACTGTTTTACTCTATCTTCCCGCTCCGTGTCAACTCTACTTTACTTAAACCATGCTGACTATTTTGGATAGCCTCTTCCTAAAATTATCCTCTGATGAGGCTGTTCTCAAAGGACAGTGGTATCACTACTTCAATTTTAAAAGAAAAAAAAATGGAGTACTAGGTGAAACAGATTGCTGGTGTTCCTCAGCAAAGCCCGGGCAAGAGCTAGGAAAAAAAGTTATTAGGCCTTACGATGCACTGTTAAGGACGGATTTATATGGTTTTTGATCTGAATCTCAGACATGTTGTGGCCTTACTACATTCCTCTGGCACATAAAAGTGGCCTTGTGTACATTTGTATTCCACTGAATTTCCACAAAGTCTACAAACTAGTGCAAGTACAAAGAGGCTTTGAAGAAACCATAACTCGGACCTACTTTGTGTTAGTGTTTCTTTGGGGGCATAGGCATCTGTCTGAAGTCACTGCTTGAATCAGCCGATGAGTTAAACATTTCTCCTTTAACCAGTAACGTTTGCAGTCAAGCCTTCTTGTTAGGTTGCTTTGATATGAGCACATCATATGGGAGTAAAACCATACTCTGCCTCACTGTTCAGATCTCACAGGCTGCCTTGATGCTTACCACCATTGTTGCAGTCCAGAACAGATACAGATACAGAGCAGGCTTGCATTCACGTATTAGCAAACAGAGATGAAATCAGTCTAACTTTCACAAGCAGAATGTCCATTTTAAGGGGAGAGGGAGGCAGCTGTAGGCTTTTTAAATAAAAACTTTCCATCAGTACTAACACAACCTAAATGGCGTCTATCCTATGAACATATAAAATAATATTTTCTTACCCAACGTACCTGTTTACCATGCATCTGTGAGAGATGTCTACCAAGTTTACAGGAAGAAGCCCCACACATTTGTATGGCTGTTAGGTCTAAAAAGAAAAATAGGTAAGGAAGAGCGACTTCAAGTGTCATATGGAGGCAGACAATCGCAGTTGTTAGCTGGCATTACATTTATTTATTTATTTATTCATCTATCTATCTATCTGTAATATTTATTGCAGATGAGGAACTGAGAAGAGAAAAAGCTGAAAAGAATGTGAACATAGAGATCGCTCACCAGGATACCCATGCATCCAAAATCCGTTGAGTTGTAAGTTGGGTAAATCAGATTTTGAGACGAGAAGGAAAATATTGGTGGACCTCCAATTACTTTTCACACAGCTATTTTCAGGAGCCATGATATGTGCATACATATATGAGAAAACAGTTTTTTGTTCATCAGAGGACAGTTATCCATAATATATTCACAGGCCTGCAGTAAGTATGTAAGCAAATTGTTGTGTTTTTATTCCCAGTAGGGAAAAATTAATGACTAATGTGGCAGATGCAAAACTACTATAGGTAACAGAATTCTGTTACTTACTTGCAGGAGCCGTGAGCAGATCCAGGCAAGCCTCCCACTGGAAGTGTGTAGGTGTCTACCATAATTATAATAATACTGTGCATTTCTGTAGTGTCCAACTTGTGCATTTTAGATTGCGAGGTCAAGATTTGCCAGTTTAGATCCTTAGTGGATAGCAGTAATTAAGTAAGTAAAATGCTATTCAGCTGAATGAAAGGGCAATCAGTATTGATCCTAAACCTCATACTGCTAGTATAATTGGGCCAGTATTAGTGTGGTGGAGATAAGAGACGTGGTACATCAGTACACACATTCGAGAGAAGATCAAAACTGCCCAGGTGGTAAGTAACCTGGACAATTGCCTGCAGCACCTAAAATTAGAGATCAGCATAAAGGCTTGGCAGATAAACAGTCAGCAGATGCTGCCTTATCTCTCTATTTGCTTTGGAAGTTTGGGACTGACCCAAAACATGTTGAAATCAATTTGTATTTTCCCCTTTATTTCAATAGGCTACACACCAAGCTCTGATCAGTTGTGGGCCTAATTAAATGATTTTACTCAGTGCGAGCTAATTGTCCCTATGGAGGACTGAAACGGAATGCTAAATGAGCAGTCTCTAAGAACTGTGTTTGTAACGTATGGTTTAGAATAAAAAATTATGGGCTTAGTTTGACAATTTCCCCACTCTCTTTTACTGATGTAACTACTGAAACGAAGTGAAGAGCCAGGCAAAATGGATGTTAACAAGCTCCCTTCCTTATGCAAAAAGGCTAATGCAAGCAGGAAATCGCCAGCTTTCAGTGTCCAAGAGAGAAGAGAGACAATGCATTTAAATTGCATCAAGGAGGTCAGATATTGGCAAAATGGTCTAACAATAAGGACAGCGAAGCACTGGGAGAGGTTCCATGAGGGGGTTGTGGGAGTTCCAGCATGAGAAGTCTGTGAGAAGACCTTCGCCAGGCATTTGCTGGGAGGGATATGGTTGCTGCAGTCGTGGGCAGGGGAGGGAGCGTCCGGCCTCCAGAGGTGCATCCAGACACCTGCTGCCGCACTCTTGTCTGTGACAGGAAGGAGTTTTCCACCAGTCTAGTGAAAAACGCAAGGTACAGGGCAAAGGAAAATTCAGTCCTGTCACCAGAAGGTGATATTTGCTGGTCTTGAACAAACAGCAAAGGCTGTAACATGAAAACATGAAATCTGCAGTAATTAATTACATAATGGGAAATCAATCATGCTAATGAGCCTGTAAGTGTTGACAGACTCTAACCATTGCTGTGAGAATGGCATTGATTTAGTAAATATTTTTTTCAGAGGTTGGGGATGGAAGGTTGCATAATTCTGGTCAATAAAGATAGTATTTGGTAGTTTGCTGTAATAATTTACTACTAAAGATTCAAGCTGATTGTTGGTCTAATGCTCTATTTGAGACAGTGAGTTCCAGCAAAGGGGAGATCTTTGCTAAACAACCCAAAAACAATTCTGCAAGGAGGGGTGGAGGGGAAAAGGAAGAGCCTCCAAAAAGCACAAACTTGCTCGAGGCAACCTTGCATGCAAAAAGATTGTCCAGGCCGCTGTGTCCGTTTGGGGGCAGAACAAAGCATGCTGTATGGCACAGTGGTTAGGAGCTAGAGTTATGGGACCCACACAGCATTACATATGCCAAATTTGGTGTTTGCAAAATGCAAAAATTAAAAAGGGTAATCTTCATCCTCAGGCAGATGTTTATCATGCAAGTGTCACGTAGAGTGCCAAGTCCTTTATGTCAATGCACCAATTTTAGCTTTGGGGGAAAAGTCTTGTAGCAAGGTGCAAGTGACATGGAGAAAAGAGGAGGAGAACAGGAGAATTTAACCTGCTTAGTTTATTCGTTTTCTTTCCAGGTTTCTGCAGGTTTATTTTCTTGCTTTTTATTTGGCTCTGTGTCTCTGATCCCGTCTGTCCTGTTTTTGTTTGCCTGCCTTTGTTGCCGGTTGTTTCACGCTGGTTCCATTCCTCTCCTTTTGTGTGACAGATTCTTTGCTTGAGCCATGTCCAAGGTGTCAGACTCCCTACAGTTACAGTACGGCGACTTGATACTGAGGACACAACTTCCTGCTTCTCTGACAGTGGCTTCATTGTGTAAGTGAGCGTATGTTTTACCAGCCCATAAAAAAAGAATTTCAGGGCATTACTTAATGGATTGTCCTTTTTCTAACCAGTCAGGACACTGGCAGCTCTTCACATATTCTTTATTATTGCTATTTGTGATCCCCTAGTATCTACAGGCCCCTAAAAGACCAAGGACCCTCTATTCCATATATTCCGTACACAGTAAGAGAGCATTTTTGTCTGAAGAGCTTACAGTCAGAACAGAGAAGACACACAGAGGAGACAGAGGTATGAGGAAGACATTATTAATACACGTTCAATATACAGAGGAAAGCAGAAACGGAGAAATCCTCAGGTCTCATTACTAGGGCTGAACTTGGATACCTCAAGTTGCAGTTCAGGGCTTTAATCACAAAATAATCCTTCTTCTCTTCACTGGAATCAATGTAACACAGGGATGGACTTTCACTTGCGTGTCATTTTCAGGTGTGCTAAGCATTGTAATAAGTGGACCTGCATCACAGAATCACAGAATGGATGAGGTTGGAAGGGACCTCTGGAGATCATCTAGTCCAATCCCCTTGCTCACACAAGGTCACCTAGAGCACGTTGCCCAGGACTGTGTCCAGATGACTTTTGAATATCTCCGAGGAAGGAGACTCCACAACCTCTCTGGACAATCTGCTTCGGGGCTCTGTCACCCTCACACTGGTGAGTGTGTGCCACCATCTTGTCCCAATGGGACTGAGTCAGTGCTGGGATACTCTGGCCATACTGTGAAGGTCAACAGTGGGTGAGTGAAGCACTACTGCAATGGACTGTGTCTGGTGGGGGACAAAGCCCCCAGCAGACAGCAGGTTTTTGGTCCACACTAACTTGCTATGATGCAAGGTGAACTTATTCCAAAAAGCTACTATGATGACTAGCAGCAGACCATACTGGAAGTCTATCTTGACAACAATAGAAAAAACATACCTTATGACTCATTCTTCTGTTTACAGGCCTGCTTTTGCTTCCTAAATTAAGATATATGCTTTACATTAGACTGATAATATGATGGCTTAATGAAGAGGAGGTAGGAAGTAATACATTAGTGTGACATCTGTTTTAATTATTTGCTTGTACCTTTGACATCTAATCAAGTACATTAAACTACACAAAATGCACATGAGGGCTCTCTGTGGAGTATCTGTTTGTTTTGCTTTTTAAAACTCTGCTTACCTGTAGAGCCTACTATTTATTGTATGATGCTTTATGCCACTTGGGCACTATGCTTAATCAGATTTGTAAATTAATTCTTTCATGGAGTTTTACTTTGTGTGCTCAGAAGGCATTACAGGTGTTCATGACATGCTTCAAAACACACACTGGTTACATTAGTCATCCACTCAGCATAATACTTTTATGGAGAACACTTTAGGTTGAAACAAAATTTCCTTTCATCCAGATTCTTTCCCCCACTTTTGAGCACCACAGTTATGTTACATGTTAGTAAACAGCTACGTGACACACAAAGGCTGTAATTGTAATTTTTTTTTTTTTTTTTGCTGGAGGAAAAAGCTAAAGTTCATTTCTTGAAATATCTATAAATTTTATGATTATTCTATTGAAAGTATTTACATACAGGAACTTTGCCTTCTGACAGCTGGAAAGCTGTTTTTTAGAATCAGCACTGCTGAATCATGACATGCCTTATGCCTGCTTTCCATTTCCCAGCTCTGCAATCTCAGCCCGTGGTATGGAAGGGTGCAAAGCCAGGGACAGATAGGAATGGGAAGCTTTGATGGGGAGTTCCAAACAATTCTTTAGTGCTGCCCACATCTTCAGTGACAGACTGTCTTACACACCCACCTCATGCGCCGTGTCCCTTCCTTTTCAAGTTGTTTGAAACACTTACTAGTTAACAAAACACTTCTGTGGCAAAAATGGCAATGCAGGAAAAGAAGATACCTAACAGAAGATGTAGCTGATGTTGATGAAGAGGAGGAGATGCCCATTGGCAAGCGGGGAGGACTGCTGTGGTCACTGAACCACAGTTTGAGAACTACAGTGACAGCAAGCTGCGAAACCTGACCTTAGGAGAGATACTTCCAGTAGTCTGAGAAAAATGTTCCCAAGCCAAAAATCTCTCTTCATTATATTGGAAACTCACCCTTATACCCTCCAGGCAATCCTGTGTACTCCTCCTTGCCCCCCCACCCCCACCCCCCAAACACACATACAAACGTACAGTCTCTCAGGCCCTTTGAGTTTCACAGGAAACAAGTAAATGAATCTCAGCTCTCAGTTTCCTAATTATGAAAAAGCATAGAACTGGACTTCCAGAGGCTCAAAAATGCTGAAGTGTCTGCAAAAAAAAAGGCCAAGAGAAGACCTGAAACCAAATGGGGATTTCACATGGCTGATGGAGATCTCACAGATATTTCAAAGAGCTGTGGTGCTCTCACAGAATTGGTGTCCGATCACTTAGTGTTGTGTTTGTTTCCCATAATAGGTGTATAGTGAAGCAAGCTGTATCTTTGAGGAAGGATGCAGTGGCAGAAGAATCTCTCGCCTGAAAGACCAATCCGTGATCCTGAAAAGAGAAACCATCATGTTGAATCGCTGCAGGGAGGAACTTGCTCAACACAACAGGAAGGAACCTGGTTCTAACACGCTGCTCTCCGACGAGAGCTTGGGGATTTCTAGACATTTTTGCTCAAACCACTTCTTCTTTCTCATTCCCTGGATCTGTGCCTACTTCAGTGCTGTGGGTTAATGAGACACCCCCAAGACTTTACCCTGT